ATAAAGATTCTCCGTTCCTCCCACGGGGTGTGGTGGTTCACACTGGAAACCACAGCAGAGGCAGGAGGATCAAACGTTCTAGGCTGACCTAGGATAAAACAAAGACCCTACTTCAAACAAAGGAATGCAAATATTCTCCTTCCGTCTCTCTCCCGGCAACAGCGTCTAAGGATGTAGCTTGGGGTGGCCTTGAACTCAAAATTCTCCGGTCTCAGCCTCCAAGTGCTAGGATGGCTGTTGCGCACTAAGGAACAGGACTACTGTTGCACACTGGGAAACAGGACTGCTGTTGCACACTAAGGAACAGGACTGCTGTTGCACACCGGGAAACAGGACTGCTGTTGCACACCGGGGAACAGGATTATTGTTGCACACTGGGGAACAGGACTGCTGTTGCACACTGGGGAACAGGACTGCTGTTGCACACTGGGGAACAGGATTGCTGTTGCACACTGGGGAAGGAAGGCTGGATTGCTAAATGAAGAAGGAGCTGAATAGAATTCTGACCTCTTGTATTTGGCCCATGAGGTGACCCTAGAAGTTTCCAACTGTCCAAATAACAGTACTGGCCTCCATGAAGTACCACTACTAACCTCCTGCCTCGACACTTGTTTTGACTCCACAGATAAGAACATCATTTGCTTTCTGTACCAGTATAAACAAAATAATGGTACTTCACGCCTTTGTATGTTTCAGACTAGGATTTAGACCAGAGCCAGCCTGGTATCACTTCAAACGGCCAACACTGAGACCATCTGCAGCATGGACATAAATGACAGAAGCAGAGGATTATCACCCAGGAGATAAAATAAATACGAAGTCCTAATTGATATAAATCAATCACTGGAAAACTAGATGGGAGAGGGGAAAAAAGTACTTCCCTGAAGAAGAATTCCAATGGATAGGTGTAGAAGGAAATAAAAATAGCTTCTAGAATGTTCCTGTTGTCACAGATAATATCAGCAGTTTTTTGTTTTTGTTTTCGAGAAAGGGTTTCTCTGTGTAGTTTTGGTGCCTGTCCTGGAGCTCACTCTGTAACCCAGGTTGACCTCAAACTCACAGAGATCCGCCTGGCTCTGCCTCCTGAGTGCTGGGATTAAAGGCGTGTGCCATTACCGCCCGACAATATCAGCAGATTTTAAAGCTAATGAGAAGAAAGTTTGAAGAGAAACTCTCATATAGCCTCAACGTTACTCTCATGCAAAGGGACAAACAGGCCTGCACAGTAGAGAAACATGGGGACCTCACCATAACCAAGTCACCGAAGCTGCCACCAGCAGTAATGAAACACTAACATCACAAGGCACTAAGAAAGACACACATCTTTTGAGTGGTATTCCTGCCAAAAATGCCGAAGGCTCAACTTCACCATGAGAAAACACTGACGCCTCCAAATCGAAGGCATTCGACACAGATACTGGATACTTCCCTTAAAAATATCAAGGTCGGGCTGGAGAGATGGCTCAGTGGTTAAGAGCACTGGCTGTTCTTCCAGAAGACCCGGGTTCAATTCCCAGCACCCACATGGCAGCTCACAACTGTCTGTAACTCCAGTTCTAGGGGACCTGACATCCTCACACACGCAGGCAAAACACCAATGTACATGAAATAAAATAATTAAAAAAAATTATCAAGGTCAGCCAGGCGGTGGTGGCGCACGCCTTTGGTCCCAGCACTCGGGAGGCAGAGCCAGGCGGATCTCTGTGAGTTTGAGGCCAACCTGGTCTACAGAGCGAGATCCAGGAAAGGCACCAAAACTACACAGAGAGACCCTGTCTTGACAAAAAAAAAAAAAAATCAAGGTCACTGCTGTAGGATGCAGCTTCGCGGGAGAGCATTTGACAAGCATGCACAACACCCAAGGTTTAATCCTCAGTAATGACAAAACAGCAGTCTAGCAACTATTAGCTGCGGTGCACAGGCAACACTTTGGGGCTGGTAGGATGGCACAGTGGGTACAGATGCTTGCCGTCAAGCCTACCAGTCCGAGTGTGACCCTCGGGACCCACATAGTCAGAGGGAGAACCAACTCCCACGAGTTGGCCTCTGACCTCCACACGAACACAGGGCACAGTGGCGTCCTCTCCGAAAGAAAGAAATGTTTTTAAAAAATCCGAGAGTCACAAAAGCCAAAAAAGTATCCTGAATTAGGAGTCAACTAAGGAAATGTGAAAACTGTGAAGTAGCATCCCTCAACAGAAAAGGCTAGCATGGGGAGACAATGGCCAATCTTCGTGATCTGCCGTTTCTAAAGTCCTAATGTCTGTGGTATTACCAACTAGTGCCCACTTTCTTACTTAGATACTTCTCCTGTTAACAAAAGTACTAACATTAGGGAGAAGCTGGGTAGCAGGTTTGGGAAATTACTAGTACTATTTTGTGAGTCTACAATGATTTCAAAATATGTAAAAGCTAAACCAATTAAGAGTTAGAATCTGATTATAGCTGGATGAGCGCCACCCCAATTTTTAAGTTCCATCCTCCTCATCAGCCTAGCAGTCTAGTATGGACTTGCAGTCACCTAGGAGACATACTTCCAGGCATCCCTGCGAGGGTGTTTCCAGAGAAGTTCAACTAAGGAAGGAAGACCTACCCTGAACATGGGCCACACCAAACTGTCGGGTGGGATTTAAAAAACGGGAAAAAGGAGGAGGAGAGCTGAGCAGGGACTCACTCCTCTCAGCTTCCTGATGGAGGTGCAGTGTGAGCAGCTTCCTCCATTCCTGTGGCCTCAGCTACAGCCGCCCTCACTGCCACCCCCACCCCCACCCCCACCCCCACGGCGGACCGCATCCTCAAACTGTGAGCCCAAACTGAGCTTCTCTTCCTTCAGCTGCCATGGTGGGGATTCTGTCACAGCAGCTAACACACTTGGGTGACCTCGGGGGACAAGAGAGAATTAGGAAGTATGGCCACAAAGCCTTGTAACTATAGTTACGGAGACAAAGCACACACATATACAAGCCCAGGCACACGGAGTGAGGCCCCAGCTGAACAGTAGTAATGGGTGCAACACCCAAACTCAAGACCGTTTTTGTTTAAGATAGGTGCCGTGTACCCCAGGCTGGCCTCAATTTCTCTGTGAGGCCCAGGATGCCTCTGAACTTCTGATCCTCCTGCCTCTGACTCCTCAAGTGCTAGGATTTAAGACACTACCATGCTTAACTTATATGGTGCTCGGGACGAGACCCAGGCTGTATCGTGCTAGGCAAGCACCCCACCCAATGAGCTCTGCTCCCCGCTTCCTCCACCCAAAGCTCAGGACTTTAAGGAGAAATTACTTCTCCACCGGATCCTGTCCGTTTCCCTCCACACAGACAGCACTGTGAGTATGCTGGTGTGATAACTGACTAGTTTTCTATTGGCTTGTTTGAGAAAGGAGCTTGCTACCTTGCCAGATAAGCTCTCATTTTAGAGCACCCAAGGGGCAAAGATTACCGGCATATAGCACAGCACCCAGTATCCCTGGCTGGATTTAAAAATGGTTTATTTATGGTTAAGCTACTGAATAGATATATCTAAGTTCATTTGTTTTGTTCAACTTTTTTTTAAAGATTTATTTATTTATCATGTATACAATGTTCTGCCTGCATGGCCACCTGCACACCAGAAGAGGGCACCAGATCTCACTACAGATGGTTGTGAGCCACCATGTAGTTGCTGGGAATTGAACTCAGGACCTCTGGAAGAACAGCCAGTGCTCTTAACCTCTGAGCCTTTCTCCAGCCTTTGTTCAACTTTTCAAGGATTGCTTTACAGAATATTTTCTGTGTGTATTTGTGTCTTCATGTCTGTGCATACACGTACGAATGTAGAGGCCAGAGAACATCAACTGTCTTCTACCTTTCTTGTGGAGACAGAGTCTCCTATGAAACTCACAGATATCCACCCATCTCTGCTCCTCGGCTACTGGGATTGAAGACATGTGTCCCCACACCCAGCCTGAATCCCCACTCTTAACCAGCAGGCAGCCTCTACTCTTTCTGCTCCCCCAGCGTTGGCCAAGAGTCCTACCAGCATCTCCAAGTGCCCCACAGCAGGGTCCCTGGAAACCACTCTTGAACTGCCCTTCTCCCTTCCTGTGCTCTCGTCTGCTAGTAACTCTGTCTCCTTAATCCATCTTGAGTCTGTGACATCTTGTGTCCTGTCAGCACAGACTTGGTCATTTTCTTCCCAGGTTAGAACAGCCCTTGTCCGCATGACGACTTCCTGACCTCCAGGCTCTGCCCAGCGGATGACACGGTTTGGAGTCTCTGCACTGTGAAGACACGAGGTGACCAAGGGGAGCGGTGACGGCCTTGGAGCTTCTGCCCCCACCTGTTGCTGGGAGCGAGCCTGCCCGATGGTTCCGAGAAGCTCAGCCTGTGCCCAGCCCAGCCTACCCCACCCCACCCACCCCCTGCAAGCAGCTGGCTCTGGCTCTCTGGCATGTTCAAACTACTTTTGAGTACTTTCTTAAAATGGAATATAATACAGAATCCTGATGCAAACATCAAATACAAGTCTTGTTTTACTACATAATACATAACAGATACTTTAATGTGTATTTGTGCATCTTAAACACGGAACAAGCAAATCTAGGTTGGCACACATCCTCTACCCTCCCTCTCCAAGACAGGGACTCACTATGTTGCCCTGGTTGGCCTAGAACTTACTATGCAGAACAGGCTGGCCTTCAACTCATGGACACTCACCTGCCTCCCTCCCAAGTACTAGGATTAAAGGCATATGTCACTATACCAGTACATAATTCAAACTTCTAATGTCTAATAGCACAGTGGTAGAGCATTTACTGTTATGTTTCAAGACCGTGGGTTCAATCCCCTGGCCTAAAACAAACAAGATTATCATCCCTTTGTACTTTAACCTACATGGCCCCCTTGTTTGGCCCCTTTCCTCTCCCACCAGCCTGTGTCTCTGGCCATCTTTGCCTCCACCCTCCCCTGAGGGCGCCAGTCTTGTCTTCCACCCTGCTCGGTGTTGACCTCCATGCCTCCTACCTCTGCTTCAGCCGAAGTTTCACCCCTCCTGACCATGTCGCTTTCCGGTGCTGGGGACCGCCGGTGAGCAGCTCTGAGCCGAGGGAGTTAGAGGCGCCAGGATCTGCACGGCCTGGGTCCGCACACACATCTCTGTTAAAAACAAGACAATAAACAGCTGAGCGCCGTGGGTTTTACAGGGAGGAGTGCAAGTGGATCTCACTGGAAAATACACGACCACGGACTGGAGCCAGAACAAAACAGCTGAGCCAAAGCAGGATTCAGTCTGCACCCCAAGCCCTCTGCCCGAAAGCCAGCAAATCTACAGAGGGTCTTCCACCCTTCCTGCCTATGTTTCTACGGCTAGTTAAGCGTATTTCTGTATTTCTCTGAAAGACACAGTAGTTATTTTTCATGTTTTGCAGTCCCAGGACTTTGGAGTCGTTCAGAGGTAGAACATGCAGCCGGCATGCGCACGGCCCCAGGGCTGCAGTCCTCCAGGTTAACCCAGAACTCTGTGCATGCTGGACAAATGCTCGACCGCAGAGCCATACCTCAGCCACATTAACTGTTAGGACTCGACGAGGTGGACAGACAACTGAAAGTGAACGCAATGGTCCAAACCATCACACTGTTTCCCGGAAACCAAGTCAGCTTCTGTGGGAGGGGCAGAGTCTCCAAGTGCAGCGCACGGCCCATGCTCTGTTTAGTGGGTGGCAGCTCGGGAAGACACACGACAACTCTCGGGCTGCAACTATTTCACACTGTTCAGATCCTATGGTGTTGGCAGGCAAGCCTCTTGGGCATTCACTTCAATCCAGCCTCCCACCCTCGGGCCCGAACCTCTCATCCCTGTAATTCCTCTGCTCCACACTCCCAGGCCGTCAGAGAAAAATGGTCAGGCCCACTTTGCTAGCGCCCTTCTGTCATGGGAACAGGCGTGTTTCTCCTCAGGAGAGACTCGGGTCTAGAATTTCCAAACACCCTCGGCGTCACCTCTTTATCACACTGGCCCTGCTTCAAGCTTGGAACTAGTTTTAAATTTTTGTTTTATTATTACGTGTGGTGTAGAAGTGTGAGTATGGGTGTGTGTGTGTGTGTGTGTGTGTGTGTGTGTGTGTGCGCCGTGGCACCCGTGGTCAGAGGATAACTTTGGTGAATCGACTCTCTTTTTCCTGGTTTTCTGTTTCTACTGTGCTGCGTGTTCCAGGCTACCTGGCCCAGGAGACTCTCCAGTCGCCCCCCTCCCCGCTCCCCGCAGGAGTGATGGGATTACAGATCTTGGATTCCCGGGACCCAGCTCGGGTTGTGAGGCTCTTGCAGGAAGTGCTCCTGCCCACTGAGGCAGCTCGCCAACCACTCATGGGTCGGGTCATCCCCCCGGTGGTGTGTGCAGTTTGTCTTCAAGGGTTTTTCTAGCCCCTGAGATCCAACTGCTGGACCTGAGAGGCACGTAAGGCCGCTCCGCCTCTGCATATGCCTTGGCCAGAAGGGAAGGATTACCAAGCAGCTGTCAAGATTAATCCTGTCCATCTGGCCTCCTATTTTTTTAGAACACAGAACGAAGTCAAAGAACGCTCTTTCTCCAACCCTAAGACCAATGAAAAGAACTTTTTATCCCAGGGTATGGGGGGAGGGACTCAGGGTCTCAGCTGGGGTTTTCTATTCTTTTTAAAATTTATTTATTTTTATTTTATGTGCATTGTTGTTTTTGCCACGGGTGTTGGGTCCCCAGGAACTGGAGTTACAGACAGCTATGAGCTGCCACCACGTGGGTGCTGGGAAATTGAACCAGGATCCTCTGGAAGAGCAGTAAGTGCTCTCAACTGCTGAGCCTTCTCTCCAGCCCTGGGGTTTTCTATTCTGGAGGCACAGAGTCTCTCTTTACCTTAGTGGTGGCCTGGATCAGTTCTGAAGGTGTCTCCTGAGGACTTAGGGCCTCTGTAGAGCGGTAGGACTTTTAAGAGGTGGGATCGCATGGTGGTGGGGGGCGGGCATTAACAGTCCTGCCCTTGGAAGACTGGGCTATTAGACAGATAAACTTGGCCCCTGAATCATTATCCAACTTCCTGTTTTGCTCTTGATCTGTGCTCCCAGTCATGACGCAATCCAACAAGATATGGTGTAGCCTTGAGGGCTCTTGCCAGAGAGGGAACCAAGAAGCCTGCCCCACTTGGGACTTTCAGCCTCCAGAACTGGGAGCTTAATAAAACTCCATGATAGCCATGCAAAACTGGATTCCACACGTAGTTCCATCTATGCCGTCCCACCTCATTCAACAGAATCCTAAACTTGACCACTAAGGCTTGCTTGAGGTTATATCACTTATGACCTTAATGGCACTGGGCCAGTAAACTCTGGGCCTCAGGCTCCTCAACTGTAGGAAAGACAATACAAGGGACTGTGAACAAGGGCTAAAAACTCGGCTCTGGAGAACGTGTCCTGACTAGCTGGGTCCTCTCACACCTCTGCTCTTTCATCTATAAAATGGACACAAAGGGCCACTTGTTGCACAGGGCTGTTGAGACACTTTTATAACACAGGTAAGGTATTTAGAACAGAGCCCAGGGCATATTAAACACTCAGCAAATTAGCCTAATATTATTATTGTATCTGTCTTGCAGGGTTGTTCCAAAAGTTCTAGATAAATGTATATTGACCGTCTAGCATGGTATGTGCTCAATAACCCCATTATTTTCATTTCTGTCTTAATATAATAGCTTCGTGCCAGGCGGTGGTGGCGTACGCCTTTAATTCCAGCACTCGGGAGGCAGAGGCAGGCGGATCTCTGTGAGTTCGAGGCCAGCCTGGTCTCCAAAGCAAGTTCCAGGAAAGGCGCAAAGCTACACAGAGAAACCCTGTCTCGAAAAACCAAAAAAAAAAAAAAAATAATAATAATAATAATAGCTTCGTGTTAGAGCCTCTTTCAATGATTACACAAAGTAGCTGTAACTAAAACAGCCTAGTTCACTCAGAGAGGATAGAAGAGCCTTGGCCAGTGAGAGTTAACAGGCCAATCCCTCTACAAAATTCATGCCGTCTGCACTTAGAAATTCCCACACAACCCCAGCGACGCCAGACAGACAGACATTTGGCTTAAGTTGAGGTGCAAAGTAGACTCAAAGGACCCTCCCCCTTCAACCCCTGAATGTAAAGGTCTCATGAACGCAGAAAGCACACTCTGACGGCCAGCAAGACGGGGCAGGAGCTGCTGGGCCCCACGGACGGCCTGAGTTCCCTTTCCAGGACGCAGACTGGAGGAGGAGAGATCACATCATGTCCGCAAGCTGTCCCGTGTTCTCCTCCTCACAAGTAAATGTCATTCAAAAACAAAGCACCCTTCAAGACCACCCACTGACATCATCCACTCTGCCACAACGGGCTGGATTTGTCCTTTCCAGGTGTCCCTAGACCTTAGTGTCCTCTACTGGAGAAAAACAACCACAGGCAGGCCTTGCCGAGAGCCTTTGTGGCATTTAATAACTTCCTCATTTCTGACTTAAACCGCAGTGTTGGCTCTGTCCTTTCTGTGCAGTGGCTGAACCTCTGAAGCTCTGTTCTTTTTCTTTTCCCGGTCCCCATCCTGGACATACCTAGAGACAGAACCACGGGTTGTGGGTGTCCCGGGCAATGACTGAGCAGGCAGAATAAGCCAACGTGGGAGGGTCCCAAGCACCAGCCACATGCAATCATCGCATCTTTTAAGGATTTTTAGTGGGCCGAGACCAGCGTCTCAGCACTGCCCTCCAGAGCCAGGGCAGTTAACCACGTGTCATCTCAGAAGGCCAGGGCAGCTGGGTAAAGACTAATGAGGCCATCTGAACGTGGGACTGTAATCGCAGGTGACGCCATAACAACCTGCCTGCTGAGCCTCACGCTCCTGCCCTAGGCTGGTTCAGGGGACCTGGTGACAGGGAGGTCCAAGAACCAGAGTGGGTGAGCTGGGAGAGACACCATTGAAAGTCAGACTGGAGAGTCCAGGAAGCATTTGCCGGCACCCACACTCCTGCCTTAAACTCTTCTAGAATAATCTGGACAACAAATAAATAGTTTCAAACTTACACGTTCTAATGAAAAGGAATGCTACAGTGAGGCTAGATGGAAGACAGTTTTAGAATGAACTTGGGGAGGCCCATCAACTCAGCACCTTGGAATTCTCTTTTTGTCTTTCTCTGTCTTATCTGTACACAGAACCACTTACCTGCATAGTGAGCCTGTCTGGCCATTAAACTCACACTGTCTCCAGAAAGCCGGTCTCCCCACCCTGCAGACTCCTCTGCGGACTTCCCCCACAGCCGTAATTGACAGTCAGCAGGCACTTTGATCTCCTCCGACAAGTCCTAATGGGGTACCACATGCCTCAGGCAGACTGACCCAGGTCTTTCCTACAAAAGGATGTACGCGCTTTCCCACATGTTGTGAGTTATTATCAAAACTCCTTATGAAAGAGACAATGAGTGAGGCTTTTTTTTTTCTCTCCCCTAAGACTCATTTTCCAGAACACACTGAGACACAGAAGCTGTATGTCTTGGCTCAGACCACACACAGAATTATACTCACTGGGGACTGAAATCCCAGACAACTACTCACTCTTCCTTTCAACTCAGCAGTTTCAAAAACTCTGTTTATGCCACAGACTTTTAGGCCTTCAGATTACTAACCTGGATGAGAATAGATGATAGGTCCACTAATTCAAAGTTATCACATGGAATTATTTCTACTTAAAATACACCATAGAAGCTCCTGGGGTCAGCAAAACCTCTTCAAGTGAAAATACTGAAATAAACCGTGCGGCTGTGCCACCTTTCCGGACACAGCAGGGGTGAAGCAGGCTGAGCCCACTCTCCCTCCTCCTCCTCCTCCTCCTCCCAGCACACAGAGTGCACACGAGTGTGGCTGCGTCCGTCGGGGATGATCACAGGGTTTCCACCTGCCTGCTTTGGTAGGCCCCTCTTTAACTGCTCACCTAACATAAGTAGCCCCACTATGAACCCTGGTACAGTCAACCAGAATTTGTTGAGTGGATGAAGAACTGCTAAATGGTCAACCAATCTGTAACCCAACTCCTCAGTGAGTGTGTCGCAACACTCATGAGATACTTCTGGGGACTGTTTTATGTTGTCTCTTCCTCGTCTCCGGCCTCAGTATCATCA